TTAAGCTTTCAATTAAGAGATTATGTGTCTCAATTCACTCCGAAACCACTCCGGACCCGAACCAACTAACCCGGTATATCATAATATAGCTGTAGAACACAAAAGAAGCAGAAAATGGGAGAACGGGGCTATAACTCTCAAAATGGCTGGCTGGGTCGTTACATCATCCCCCTCTTAAACAAATATTCTTCCTCGAATGGGTCTAGAAACATACCTGGAGCCTCAAATAGGTACGGGTATCTGTTCCGCATCTCCCGCGCGGTCTCCCAAACAGCCTCCTTTGGGCTGACCTCTCCACTACACTTTTACTGAAGTTATATCCTTTAACCTTAACTTTCGAACCCGACGCCCCAGAATGGCCACCGGCTCCACATCATAAGTCAAATCACAATCCAATTGTACCATGCTAAAATCCAAAACATGAGATGGATCGCCAACATACTTTGAAATACTGGATGCACACTCGACAAGCTAGGTGGCAAAATAAGCTCATAGGCTACCTTCCCAACCCTACAAAGCACCTCAAACGGTCCAATAAACTGATGGCTCAGATTGCCCATCTTCCCAAATATCATAACACCCTTCATGGGTGAAACCTTCAGCAAAACCTTCCCCCAACCATGTAAGACACATCACAGACCTTTCTGTCAGCATAACTTTTTTATCTCGACTGCACCCTACGAAGCCGCTCCTAAATCAATTTCACCTTGTTAAGTGCATCCTGAACCAAGTCTGTACCCAAAAGTCTAGCCTCACCCGGCTCAAACCAACCCACCGAAGATCTACACCGCCTCCCATATAAAGCCTCGTACGGAGCCATCTGAATACTCAACTGATAACTGTTGTTGTAAGCAAACTTCACGAGTGGCAGAAATTGGTCCCATAAACCTCCAAAATCAATGACACAAGCGCTTAGCATGTCCTCCAATATCTGAATAGTACGGTCGGACTGTCCGTCCGTATGTGGGTGAAATGTTGTGCTCAACTCAAACCGAGTGCCCAACTCTCACTGCACGGCCCTCCAAAACTGTGATGTAAATTGCGTGCCTCAGTCTGAAATGATTGAAACTGGCACACCATGCAGGCAAAAAGTCTCTCTAATGTAAATCTCAGCCAACCGGTCTGAAGAATACATAGTACTCACAGGAATGAAGTGCACGGACTTGGTCAGCCGATCCATAATCACCCAAAAAACATCGAACTTCCTCGAAGTCCATGGCAGTCCAACTATGAAATCTATAGTGATCCGCTCCCACTTACACTCTGGAATCTCTATATTCTAACGCAAGCCACCTTGTCTCTGATGCTCATATTTCACCTGCTGACAGTTAAGATACCGAGCTACAAACCCAACTATGTCTTTTTTCATTCTCCTCCACCAATAGTGCTGTATCAAATCCTGATACATATTCGCGACACACGGATGGATGGAATACCGCGAGTTGTGGGCCTCCTCAAGAATCAACTCCCGTAGCCCATCCACATTGGGTACACATATTCGGCCCTGCATCCTCAATACCCCATAATCACCAATAGTCACATCTCTGGCATCACCTTGCTGAACCCTGTCTTTGAGGACAACAAATGAGGATCATCATACTAGTGCTCTCTGATGCGATAGAATAAGGAAGACAGAGAAACTACACAAGCTAGAACTCGACTGGGCTCTGAAATATCCAATCTCACGAACTGGTTGGCCAAAGCCTGAACATCAACAGCAAGGGGTCTCTTACCAACAGGAAGGAATGCAAGACTACCCATACTCACTGCCTTTCTACTCAAGGCATCAGCCACCATATTGGCCTTTCTCGAATGGTACAAAATGGTAATATCATAGTCCTTTAGCATCTCCAACCATCTTCGCTGCCTCAAATTGAGATCCTTCTGCTTGAACAAGTGATGGAGGCTATGATGGTTAGTAAATACCTCACAAGACACACCATAGAGATGGTGCCTCCAAATCTTCCGCATGAACAATGGCAGCTAACTCCAAATCATGAATGGGGTAGTTCTTCTCATGGGGCTTCAACTGACGCGAAGCATAAGCATCACTCTACCCTCCTAGATCAAAACGCACCCAGTACCGACCCAAGAAGAATTACAATATACTATATAGGAACCAGAAGTTGATGGTAGAACCAACACTAGAGCTGTGGTCAAGGCAGTCTTGAGCTTCTGAAATCTCGCCTTGCACTCATCCGACCACCTGAAAGGAGCACCCTTTTGGGTCAATTTGGTCAAGGGCGATGCAATAGACGAGAAACGCTTAACGAACCGACGGTAATAACCAGCCAAACCAAGAAAGCTCCAAATCTTTGTGGATGAGAACGGTCTGGGCCAACTCTAAACTGCCTCTATCTTCTTCGAATCTACTTGAATACCCTCACTGGACACCATGTGTCTCAAGAACGCCATTGAACTGAGCAAAAATTCACACTTGGAGAACTTGGCATAAAGCTTCTCCTCCCTCAACCGCTGCTATACAACCCTCATATGTTGGGCGTGCTCCTCTTAGCTATGAGAGTACACCAGGATATCATCAATGAACACAATAACAAACGAGTCGAGATAAGTCGAAACATGTTGTTCATCAAATGCATGAACGCTGCTGGGGCGTTACTCAGCCCTAAACATATCACGAGGAACTTATATAGACTATAACGGGTCCTGAAAGCTGTCTTAAGAATGTCCGAGTCCCTAATCTTCAACTGGTGATACCCTGACCTCAAATCAATCTTGGAGAACATCCTCGCTTCTTGAAGCTGGTCAAATAGATCATCAATACGAGGCAAAGGATATTTGTTCTTGATTGTTCCTTTGTTCAACTACCTATAATCAATACACATTCTCATAGTGCTATCCTTCTTCTTCACAAATAGAACTAGTTCACCCCAAGGTGACACACTAGGCCGAATAAAACCCTTATCAAGGAGTTCCTCAAGCTGATCCTTCAATTTCTTCAACTCCGCCGGTGCCATACGATACGACAGAATAGAAATGGGTTGAGTGCCGACACCAAATCAATACCAAAGTCAATATCCCTGTCCGGCGACATGCCCAGCAGGTCTGTAGGAAACACATTCAGAAAATATTGCACCACCGAACTGAAGCAATGGTAGGAGTCTTTGCACTAACATCCCTTACGAAGGCCAAATAAGAAAGACAACCCTTCCCAACCATCCGATGGGCCTTCAAGAATGAAAACACTCTACTGGGAACATAATTCAATGAACCTCGCCACTCAATCTATGGCAACCCCGGCATAGCCAATGTCACCGTCTTAGCGTGACAGTGCAGAATAGCATGACACGGAGACAACCAATCCATGCCCAATATCACACCAAAGTCAACCATACTAAGAAGCAACAGATCAACATTAGTCTCTAATCCCCCAATAGTCACTACACACGACCGGTATACAATGTCCACAATAATAGTATCACCCACCGGCATAGATACACAAACAGATGAAACTAGAGACTTACGGGGCATGTCCAGGTAATGAGCAAAATATGATGACACATATGAATAGGTGTAACCAAAGTCAAATAATGTAGAAGCATATCGATGACATACAGAGATAATACATGTGATCACTATATCTGAAGCAATGACATCTGGTTTGGCAGGTAGTGCATAGAAACGGCCCTGACCGCCACCTGATTGGCCTCCCATTCTAGGGTGTCCCCTAGCTGACTGAGCTCCACCCCTGAGCTGGTTGGGCGGGTGGTGAAGTAACTGGTGCTGAAGTCGAAGGTTGACTCCTCTGCTCAGATGAACCTCTCGTAAGGCGAGGACAGTACATCTTGATATGAACCAAATCTCCACACTCAAAACAACCTCTACCAGCTAATGGCGGTGGGCACTGAAGGGAGCCCTGAGTATCGGGATACCCGTAAGAAGGCCCCAACATAGATGAACCCTGAGCTGATGGTGCATGAGACGAACTCTGAGATGGAAGGGCACTAATAGATGAGTGGCCCTGCTGAGAACTGTGAGAACCATGGCCAAATGATGCACCACGGTGAACTGGACGGGCCGTCTGAGCATTCCTATAAGGACGACCTCTGTTGTGGTGAAACTGACCTCCAGAAGGAACACCACCAAAGCTACCTGATCCACGAGACCTCTTATCCTCCCTCTCAATCCGCTCCTGACTGCGGATCAACTCTATCTCCCGATCAATGTGGACAACCTCATCAAAGGTAGCACCAGACACCCTCTCTCTGGTCATAAGTACCCTCAACTAAAATGTGAGGCCATCAATGAACCTTCTGATCCTCTCCCTGTCTGTGTCAACTAACCAAACAACATGACAGGCTAACTAAGAAAATCTCCTCTTGTACTGCGTCACAGTCATGTCATCCTGATGCAACCCCTCAAACTGTCTGCGCAACTCCTCTCTGTGAGACTGCGACACATTCTTCTCCAAGAAGAGAAAGGAGAACTCCTACCACGTAAGTGGCGCTACACCTGTGAGCACCCAATTTTTGCCCTACATGAAAATAAATCCTAAAAATAGGCCAAAAATAATTTAATTGATTTTTAGGAATTTTTCTTTATTTAGTTGCATTTCATGCATTTTTAATATTTTAAAATCATAAAAAATCATAAAAATTGTCACGTTTAATTTTATGTCATCTTAGGTTCAATTTGTATATAGGAATTAATTTTATTAAGCAAAAAATCACAAAAAATGGTCATTTTTACATATTTGGATTTTTAGCCTTTAAAATTAGCATTTTCCCTTAGTTTTAAGTTAATTAGTCGTTTTAATGTTAAAAATAAATAAAGAATTTTAATAGATTGATTTAGGATTTTAATTGATTTAGAAAAAAATAAAAAAAAAATAGGAAGAACATATTTTTGGTCTTATTTCTTTTAAAATTGGGTCAATTCCTAAAGGCCCAAATTAATTTTAAACCCCGACCCAAATCCAATACCACTGCCGAAATACCCATTACCTTTTACCCTACCCCTTGCATATACAAACACAATTTAGAAACCAAAAAATCAAACCCCTAGATCAAAGGAGAGCAAAAACTGCGGATCTAAAAACCTCCCCCTCCCCCCCTCTCGTTCATAACCTTCTTCAGCAGAACACCAAAAAAAAACTCCTCCATTCCTTCTAAAATCACAAGAAAATAACAGGACTCTTCACTCAGAGAAGAAGAAGAAAGCTTTCCCTCCTTTCCGTCTCATCTTACTCGTCTTTCCTTGTTTGTGACAAATTGCGGATCTAGCTAGAAGTGACATTAAATCCGGCAATCCATGGAGGATCTAGTCAAACTCCAAGAGATGAAACGAAAACTGAAAATAAAGGATTTGAAGGCTATTTGAATTTCTGCTCTCTTATTTTCAATTTTTCTGAAATTTTTGAGTGACATTTGGGTTGTAGAAGTGTGGTTGGGTCACTAAATCTGTTGCTGTTATGTTGCTAGGTTTCCTCTCATTATTTCAGAAGCTTGTTTGTGGTGTTTTCTTCATTTAATTCCGGCTTGGTTAGGTATGTACACATCTGCCCGAAATCTTCTTTTGAATACGAATGAATAGTCGAATTGTTGACTCTATGAATATGTTTGATTCTTCGTATTCTTCTAGTCGGATTGTTGGTTAATTTCCGTTGTCATCAATTCTGTTTTTGTGATAATTTTGACTGTTGAATTATATGTAAATTTGTTTTGTCGACTAAATCTATCCGATTTTGTAGTGAATAGCTAAAATCTCAGTTGAAATCACAATCACCTAGCTAAGTACGCACTGCTGGGGCCTCTGTTTGTGATTATTGCACTGAAGAGCCAAATTTGATTTTTTTTTAATGATGTAATGGCTAATGATTCTGAATTGTTTTCCCATTTTATTGATTAATTCTGAACATGCAAGCTCAACTCTGCTCTATTGCAAATATTCATGATGTATTAATTTTTAGTATATAGATCTAGATTTTCCTTATTCAACTTCACGTGACTCATCCCATTTGGTGGTCGATTGGCGTGAATGGAAAGAATCTTTTCTGCAAATTTTTGTGTGTGAAGACATTTGGTTGAGTGTTTTAATTGAGTATTAAATAACCATAAGAGTTACTGCAATTTCGCACGTATATAGAGCCATATGATCTTGAATGTGTTTGTGTAACTTGTAAAATCAGGTTATCACTCCTTTTAAATTGTTCTTAGCTACAATTTTGGCATAGTGAAGCTTAATTGGTTGTTAAGTTTACTTCTTCCATAACTTTGGCCTCACAATAATCTCAAACTTAAAAATAGAAAAATAACCTTGAACATCGTAGCTTGCTTTAGACGCGATTAATAAATCGTCGTGGCTATGGGTACGATTCCCGTGGCATAGTCATGATACCTAATTCTCAAATTCGGGTGTGCATTTCATGTGACCCGATTATAATAACTTCGAATAATAAAACCTTGTTTAAATAATTTGAGGTGTGCCATGCCAAATAAACCCCTAAGCCCATGGCCCTCACAAAACTAGTTAGCTTTATATAGAAAATTTAAGGTGTGCCATTTTCATTAAATAACCCATGGTCCTCATATAATGAATACTAACTCTTTGAAAATCGGGGTGTGCCATCAATTGAACTTTCCATGGCCCTCACAAATGTAGTTATTAATTCGAACTTTCGTATTTGCTTTAGGCGCGTTCCATAAATTGATTTTCTTTTATTTATTAAATTTGGGTGTACATTTCATTTGATCCAATTTCAATTCTTTACAATGTTAAATAAAATGTGTCGCGAACCGCGGGTGCATTTCATGTGGCGTGGTTCAAGACATGTTTAAATAACGTTGAATCTTCTTAAAAGCGTTTTAAAATAATTAAAAGCGGTTAATAAACTAAAAATGCACAATATGTTAAAACATGTAGTTAATCAGATAATAGGCCAATTATAATAGTTTAAGCGACAGTGATAGAACCACGAAACCCGGGAATGTCTAACACCTTCTCCCAGGTTAACAGAATTCCTTACGTAGAATTTCTGGTTCGCAGACTTCAAAAGGAAAGTCGAATTTCCTCGATTTGGGATTTTAAAATAAACCGGTGACTTGGGACACCAATTAAAATATTCCAAGTGGCGACTCTGAAGAATTAAATAAATAATCTCATTTCGAATAATGTCACTTAAATTGGAAAAACTCTCTTATACTCCCTCTCGGGTGTGTAAAAAAGGAGGCGTGACAACACCAACCGGACTAAGCCTCTCATACGCTTCTCACCAGGTAAAGGCAGCTCCAGTGAACTGAAAAGTAGTGAACGAGACCCCACTAGTCTCCAGAATACCTGTTGTACGGAGAATCCTCTGATATTTATCTAAGAAACCCTGGTCATCCTCGCCCTTCGCATTGCTGAAAGTAGGAGGCTGGAGCCTCCCAAACCTCTCCAACCTACGCTGCTCATCATCAGGCATGACTGAAACCATATAGTCTTGAGCAGCTACAACTGGCTGGGCTGATGGTGCCCCCGGTGTCTGGAGTTTTTGCACCACCTGCTCTAGTATGCAGGCGGTAGGAGTCTGAGTACCTCTCCCGGCCTGGGAAGTGGCTTTTGCAGCAAAAACTAAGACATCCTGAGCAAGACTGATGCACGCGGTCAGAATTTGAGCTAAGGCGTCCTGAAGGCCTGGGATCACGATGGGCACAGTTGGTGCTTGAGCTGGTCCCGTTGGTGCATCCACAATTGGGACCTGATCCTGAACTAGGGCAACTAGTGGATCTGCAGGTGCTGCCCTAGCTATTGTGCAGGCTACACCTCTGCCCCTACCATGGCTTCTACCGCGACCTCGACCTCTCGCGGCCCCAACTGGTGGCACTGGTGGCTGTCCGTCTTGTCCAGTAGCACGTGATCTCACGATCTGTGAGAGAATAAAACAATAGAAGTTTAGGTACCAGTATCAACAGATTCACACGATGAGAATTCAAGAATGTTAAGTTTCCTAAGAGTTCTGCAGCCTCTCGAAGATAAGTACAAACGTCTCCGTACCGATCCGCAAGACTTTACTAAACTCGTTCATGACTCTTGAGACCTATGTAACCTAGGCTTTAAAACCAACTTATCACGACCTAAAATCAACCATCGTGATGGCGCCTATCGCGAAACTAGGCCAGCCTCAACTCAACAATCCAACACAGTAAAATAACCTTAAAAATAATGACGGAAGCAATTAACATAAAAGAAACCTTTTTGAAAACATAACAAATCCCAAAGTGCGATACAATCCAGCCCAAAACCGGGGTGTCACTGAGTACATGAGCGTCTATTCGGAATACAATCCACTACAGAGTCTAAAGAAAACAACTGAAAATACATCAAATAATAAAAAAAAAGAGTCAAGGCCTGCGAACGCTGTGCAGCTACCTTGATAGTCTCCAGACTTTGGGGCCTCAATAAGCAACCGTCACCGTGAATAGAGTCGCATGGATTTGCACACGAAGTGCAGAGAGTAACGTAAATACACCAACGTAGTAAGTAACAAGTCAAAACGTTGGACTAAAAGGTAGTGACAAACTCAACCACAACAGATATAATAGAAACAAATGTGCAGAAATGTAGGCATGCTTTCAAGTTAAATAGACAGCTCAAAGCAATAAAGTAAATAGAGATCTGGAAAGTTTAAGGTATATAACTCAACTATCCCTACATGCCAATGCACATACTGTATGAAATGCACCATGTGCTCCCACTCTCAAGTTCTCAACCACTCGGTACTATATATGGTCATCCGGACCAGGGAAGACCCATCCCGGAACATATACAACACTGACTATAAGTCACCCAGTACCGAGGAAAAGGGAAATCCAACCATGTGGAGAAGATCCATCTCCAGGTATCAAGTACTTCAGACAAGATCTATGTCCAGGGAAATTCATCCCTCAATAATACCATTCGCACTCACTGGGGTGTGTTACAGACTTCAGAGGGGCTCCTATAGCCCAAACGCTATCACCAATCAATATAATTACTACGACGTACAACCCGATCCCATAACTGTCACTTATAATCAGGCTCTCAGCCTCATTCAGTCATCAATCTCTCTAGTCTCACCACGGGCTCACAATGTCATGAAACTAACCAGGAATAATGATATGATGAATCAATAAATAATTGAAACTGAGATATAATATAAAATGCATGAACATGACTGAGTACGGAATATCAATGGAAATAGTGAGATGACAGTAAGAAACGACTATTAAGGGTCCCAACAATACCAGTATAAAGCCTAAACATGATATCTAGTATGATTTACAGCTCAATTACTTTATCACATGATGAAAATATGGATATCAACATGATAGAGTCACTAAACGGTGCCATGGAATCACCCAGGTCACAATTCTCGCAGTGCACGTGCGGCGCCCGTCACTTGGCATGTCTGTCACCTCAATACCAATTACATAACACATAATTTGGGGTTTCGAACCCTCAGAACCAAGTTTGAAAGCGTTACTTACCTCGAACCAAGCAAAATCCTACTCCACAATGCCCTTGCCTCTAAAATCGGCCTCCAAACATCCCGAATCTAGCCACAAGTAATACAATACAATCAATATAGGCTAAAGGGATCAATTCCACAAGAAAACTACCAAATTAGAGTCAAAATCCGAAATCGACTCAAACCCGACCCCCGGGCCCACGTCTCGAAATTTGACAAAAGTTACAAAATCCAAAAGCCCATTCACTCACGAGTCTAACCATACCAAATTTATCAAAATTCGAAATCATTTGGTCACCCAAATCCCCAAAACCCACTCTCCAATTCTCAAGCCCTAATCTCCCAAATTTCACCTCAAAAACTCACCGACTAGGTGGGAAATCAGTGGGGAAACAAAATTTGTGATCCAAAGCGAGTTCAAGAAGCTTACCTCAATAATCCCCTCGAAAATCTCCTCCAAAATTGCCTAAGCCTGAGTCTCAAATATGGAAATAAGATCAAAATCGTGAACCCTCGCCTTTTAAGCTTCTGCCCAAACTTTTCGCACCTGTGGGCCCTCTGTCGCATCTGCGATGTCGCACCTGCTAAAATACCATCACAGGTGCGGATTCCACTTAAAATTCTAGGCTCTGCTCCTGCGGCTGCAAAACTGCATCTACAACTACCGCAGGTGCGGAAATCCATCGCACCTGCGACTCCCTTTCGCACTTGCACCCAGCTGCCCTCTTCTGTGATCCTCGCAGGTGCGGGAACATCTTCGCACCTGTGACTTCTTCCCAGCTCGTCCTTGGCAGCTTCTACGGCTCCTCCTTCGCTTCTACAGGCTCGCACCTGCGGTTCCCACTCCGCAGGTGCAGTTACACCAGTAGCAGCAACACTTCAGCTATAATTTCTCAACTTAAATCAAGTCGTCAACCACCCGAAATCACCCCCAGGCCCTCGGGACCACAACCAAACATACCAACAAGTCCTATAACCCGATACGAACTTAGTCGAACCATAGAATCACTCCCAAATAACACCAAAACACCAAATTACACCCGGATTCAAGCCTAAAGGACTTCTAAACTTTCGAATTCCACAAACGACGTTGAAACCTACCAAACCATGTCTGATTGAGCTCAAATTTTGCACACAAGTCAAAAATCACACCACAAACCTACTCCAACTTCCGGAAATCCAAACCAACTCCGATATCAAAATTTCCACTACCGGCCAAAATGCCAAAATTCTAACTTTCGCTAATTCAAGCCAAATTCTACTATAGACTTCCAAATCACATTCCGGACGCGCTCCTAAGTCCAAAATCACCTAACAGAGCTACCGAAACCATCAAATTCAAATCCAAAGTTATTTATACATAAGTCAACATCCAGTCAACTTTTTCAACTTAAGCTTTCAATTAAGAGACTATGTGTCTCAATTCACTCAGAAACCACTCCTGACCCAAACCAACTAACCCAGTATATCATAATATAACTATAGAACACAAAAGAAGCAGGAAATATG